GTGAGTTATTTCGAAGGGTGGCGTTGGCGGGGGGGAAGGGGGGAAGAAAGGGGTGGGGGGTTTTGGAGGATAAGGTGTAGGAGAGAGGGGTGTTATGTGTGTGTGTGTGTGTGTGTGTGTGTATGTGTGTGTGTGTGTGTGTGTGTGTGTGTGATTGTGTGTGTGTGTGTGGGATTGTATGTGTGTAATATTGTATATGTAAGTATGTGTTAAAATCTCTCTCTCTTTCGATCTATCAGTCAGTCTACTCCCTCTCCCTGATTTTTCTCTCCCTCCCTCTCTCTATCTATCTATCTATCTATCTCATTCGCTCTCCCTCGCTCCTTCGCTCTAAACGTCATCAAAGTGTAATAATCTCTGATACCTAATTCCATTATCCAACATGGATTCACTTTTATTAGCTCATCGATTCTTCCAGATTAGGTTTTATTAGACTATAAAAGAGATTATATAAGAGAAAAGAAAATACTATAAATACTACCGGACAAGGACGAACACAAAAATCTACACCAATTAAGATAAATACAAGAATAGTAAATACAGAAAGTCAAATACACACATACTCACACACTCTCCAGGTTACATTACAGTGGCATTAACTTACACAGCGAAATCCAATGACAATGAGGGCGACTGGGAGGAAGGGGGAGGGGAGAGGGGAGAGGAGGAAAGGGGAAAGGGAAAGGGGGAAGGGAGAAGGGAGAAGGGAGAGGAGGAAAGGGGAAAGGGAAGAGGGAAAGGGGGAAGGGAAGAGGAGGAAAAGGGGAAAGGGAAGAGGGAAAGGGGAGGGGAGAGGGGAGAGGAGGAAAGGGGAAAGGGAATAAGGAAGGGGAAGGGGAGAGGAGAGGGGAGAAGGGAGAGGGGAGAGGAGGAAAAGGGAAAGGGATGAGGGAAAGGGGGAGGGGAGAGGGGAGAGGAGGAAAAGGGAAAGGGAATAAGGAAGGGGAAGGAGAGAGGAGAGGGGAGAAGGGGAGAGGGGAGAGGAGGAAAGGGGAAAGGGAAGAGGGAAAGGGGAAGGGAGAGTGGGAAGCTAAAGGGGAAAGGGAATAGGGAAGGGGAAGGGGGAGAGGAGAGGGGAGAGGTGGAAAAGGGAAAGGGAAAGGGGGAGGGGAGAAGGGAGAGGAGGAAAGGGGAAAGGGAAGAGGGAAAGGGGAAGGGAGAAGGGAGAGGGGAGAGGAGGAAAGGGGAAAGGGATGAGGAAAAGGGGGAAGGGAGAAGTGTGAGGGGAGAGGAGGAAAGGAGAAAGGGAAGAGGGAAAGGGGGAGGGGAGAAGGGAGAGGAGGAAAGGGAATAGGGAAGAGGGAAAGGGGGAAGGGAGAGGGGAGAGGAGGAAAGGGGAAAGGGATGAGGGAAAGGGGTAGGGGAAAAGGGAGAGGGAAGAGGAGGAAAGGGGAGAGGGAAGAAGGAAAGAGGGAAGGGAGAGTGGGAAGCTAAAGGGGAAAGGGAATAGGGAAGGGGAAGGGGAGAGGAGAAGGGAGAAGGGACAGGGGAGAGGGGAGGGCAGAGGAGGAAAGGGGAAAGGGAAAGGGGGAGGGGAGAAGGGAGAGGGGAGAGGAGGAAAGGGGAAAGGGAAGAGGGAAAGGGGAAGGGAGAGGGGAGAGGAGGAAAGGGGAAAGGGGGAGGGGAGAAGGGAGAGGGGAGAGGAGGAAAGGGGAAAGGGATGAGGGAAAGGGGGAGGGGAGAAGGGAGAGGGGAGAGGAGGAAAGGGGAAAGGGGGAGGGGAGAAGGGAGAGGGGAGAGGAGGAAAGGGGAAAGGGGAAGGGAGAAGGAGAGGAGGAAAGGGGAAAGGGAAGAGGGAAAGGGGAAGGGAGAGTGGGAAGCTAAAGGGGAAAGGGAAGAGGGAAAGGGGGAGGGGAGAAGGGAGAGGAGGAAAGGGGAAAGGGAAGAGGGAAAGGGGAAGGGAGAGTGGGAAGCTAAAGGGGAAAGGGAAGAGGGAAAGGGGGAGGGGAGAAGGGAGAGGGGAGAGGAGGAAAGGGGAAAGGGAAAGGGGGAGGGGAGAAGGGAGAGGAGGAAAGGGGAAAGGGAAAGGGGAAGGGAGAAGGAGAGGAGGAAAGGGGAAAGGGAAAGGGGAAGGGAGAGTGGGAAGCTAAAGGGGAAAGGGAAGAGGGAAAGGGGAAGGGAGAGTGGGAAGCTAAAGGGGAAAGGGAAGAGGGAAAGGGGAAGGGAGAGTGGGAAGCTAAAGGGGAAAGGGAAGAGGGAAAGGGGAAGGGAGAGTGGGAAGCTAAAGGGGAAAGGGAAGAGGGAAAGGGGAAGGGAGAGGGGAGAGGAGGAAAGGGGAAAGGGGAAGGGAGAGTGGGAAGCTAAAGGGGAAAGGGAAGAGGGAAAGGGGAAGGGAGAGTGGGAAGCTAAAGGGGAAAGGGAAGAGGGAAAGGGGAAGGGAGAAGGAGAGGAGGAAAGGGGAAAGGGAAAGGGGAAGGGAGAAGGAGAGGGAAAGGGGAAAGGGAAGAGGGAAAGGGGAAGGGAGAGTGGGAAGCTAAAGGGGAAAGGGAAGAGGGAAAGGGGGAGGGGAGAAGGGAGAGGGGAGAGGAGGAAAGGGGAAAGGGATGAGGGAAAGGGGGAGGGGAGAAGGGAGAGGGGAGAGGAGGAAAGGGGAAAGGGATGAGGGAAAGGGGGAGGGGAGAAGGGAGAGGGGAGAGGAGGAAAGGGGAAGGGAGAGTGGGAAGCTAAAGGGGAAAGGGAAGAGGGAAAGGGGAAGGGAGAAGGGAGAAGGAGAGGAGGAAAGGGGAAAGGGAATAAGGAAGGGGAAATAGTATTTGGATTTTAATGCAGTGTTCTTTTGCAATTATGTCACGCTAAAGGGAGAGGGTTAAGTGAGGTTATTGCATAATATAAGTGTGATTAAAGAGATTAAATGTGTTCAGCTTGCGTGAGGAAACGCTTCGGTGGTCATATGCACTAAAGCAGACAATTAGATACCGATGTTGACAAGGATAAACACATTTGCGTAGACATAAATACGTTTCTCTATGTATCTCTCTCTTTGTGTCTCTTACTCACTTACTCGTTCATTTATTCACTCGTTTAATCACTCATATGTTTTCTCCCTCACTCGTTCACTCACTCGCTCACTCACTCACTCACTCACTCACTCACTCACTCACTCACTCATAATACATCTCGCTCACTCATAATTTCGCTCACCCACCTTCCTTCTCTTCCTCCCTTACAGTTTTCTTCAACTTCTCTTCCTTTCCCTTTCCCTCTTCCCTTCCTTACTCTCTCCCTCCTCCTTACCTGATGGACCTCCCTTCTCTATTTTTTTTTCTTTTTTTTTTTCCTTTTTTCTTTTTCTCCTTCTTCATTTCCTCGTGTGTGTGAGTGTATGTTTGTCTTCGTTTGTGTTTATGTGTGTGTGTGTATGTGTGTGTATGTGTGTGTATGTGTGTGTGTGTGTGTGTGTGTGTGTGTGTGTGTGTGTGTGTGTGTGTGTATGTGTGTGTATGTGTGTGTGTGTGTGTGTGTGTGTGTGTGTGTGTGTGTGTGTGTGTTCGTACGTGTGCTTATGACTGTATTTGTGTGTGTGTGTGTATACATATTCATCTGAATAAAAAAACATTCACACATTTTCCCTTTTATCCACACAAACGAACACATTGGCATAAAAAAAGGCCGCAAAGACACACAACCATTTACACACATAAACCAACTCGCACACAACCATAATTTTCATCCCGAGACCCACACGCAAACACACGCACAATATCCAACTCCCAAACAACCATAACCCACATCCCGACACCCACACGCAAACGCACGCAGAATATCCCAAACAACCATAACCCACATCCCGACATCCACACGCAAACGCACGCACAATATCCAACTCCCAAACAACCATAGCCTTCCTCCTGACATCCGCACGCAAACGCACGCACACACATACACATAAAACCTCCCGTCACCCTCAAACCCTCCAGCTTCAGACGCGGCGAAGATCCGGCGGGAAACAGCGAACAGGTGAACAAGGTTTACATTCCGCGTAAACCTTGAGCGAGAAACATCCCATTTCACGGCCAGTCACTGTGTTTTGAGCTCTATTTAACACGTTTGTTTATTTCCCCCCCCCTGTGTTTTTTACCTTCCTTCTTCTTCTTCTTCTTCGTTTTTTGTTTTTTTTTCGTTTTTTTTTTTCCTATTTCTTTTTCTTTACCTATCTTGTTCTTTTCTTTTTTTTCGTCTTTCACCCCCTCTTTCTTTTTTTTTTCTTTCTCTTTATTGTTTTTTTTTTCTTGTCTTCCTCTTCTTCTACTTTTCTCGTTCTGCTTTATCCACATTCTCTTCCTCTTCTTCTTATTATTATTTTTTTCTTCTTCTTCCCCCTCCACTTCCTCATCCTATTCCTTTTGTTCCTCCTCCTCCCCTTCCCCCGTTTCTTCTTCCCCTCCTCCTAATCCTCCTTCTCCTAGCCACCCCCTATTCCTCCCCTTCTTCCTCTTCTTCTCACTCTCCTTCTCCTTCTTCCTTTTCCTTTTTCTCCTTCTCTTTTCTTTCCCATTCCCTTTTCCTTCTCCTACTTCTCCTTTTCCTTCTCCTTCTCCTTTCCCTTTCCCTTTTCCTTTTTCTTCTCCTTCTCCTCTTTCTCCTTCTCTTTCTCCTCCTCCTCCTCATTATCATCATCATTCTCTTCCTCCTCTTCCTCCTCCTCCACCTCCTCTTCCTCTTCATCTTCCTCCTCCATCTCCTCCTCGTCCTCTTCCTCCTCCTCTTCCCCCTCTTCCTCTTCCTCCTTCTTTTTCTCCTCATCCTCATCGTCATCCTCCTCCTCCTCCTCCTCTTCCTCCTCTTCCTCCTCCTCCTCCTCCTCCTCCTCCTCCTCCTCCTCCTCCTCCTCCTCTTCCTCCTCTTCCTCCTCCTCCTTCTCATCTTCATCCTCATCCTCATCCTCATCCTCCTTCTCCTCCTTCCTCTCCTCCTCATCTTCATCCTCTTTCTCTCCAATCTTCCTCATCCTCCTCTACCTACTCCTTCTCTTTCTTTTCTTTCGCCTCCTACTCCTCTTC